CTTGAGGTTAAAATAATCAATGTGGCTGTAAAATAGACTAACTTTTTAATACAGCATTTACAAACTAGTTCCTCAAACACACTTACGTGAGAATCTTTGAACTTAGGGTTCCCATTTCCTGAAATCTGTTATAAAATAATCTTTTTCACTCATAGAAGAGCTGAGAGTCACTTTAAGAGGCCTTCAGTTAAACATCCAAACGCAGAGTGGTCCAATTTAACATCCATATTCATCCCAACCATTGTCATATGTCTTTAGTAACAGTTGTCACGATTCATTACGGCTTTTGTCCTTTCCTCTGGATCTGTGCTGTTCAATACAGCAACCATTAAACTCATATGGCTATTTATATTTAAATTCAAATTAGTTATAATTAAGGAAAATTTAAAAACTAATAAATCGGATTTCACCAAAATGAAGAGCTTCTGTTCTTTGAAAGATGATATTAGAGGAAAAAAAGAAAGAAGTCAGACATGGTAGCACACACCTGCAATCCTTGTACTGAGGGAAACTGACACAAGAGGACTTCAAGTTCAAGACTAGTTCAGGTAATTTAGTGTCTCAGTGAGACCATGTACCAGAATAAAACCTAAAAATGGCTGGAAATGCAGCTCAGTGAAAAAAGTCCTGGGTTCAATCCCCAGCAGGTAGATAAGTAAATACACAAAATTTTAAAAGAGAAAAGGAAGACAAGTCATAAAGAGAAGGCTTTACAAATCACGTATCTGTCAAGGTATATACAAACAGAATGTATCAAATCAAAAGTCAATTATAGGGTTGGGGATTTAGCTTAATGGCATTGTGTCTGTCTTGCAAGTACAAGGTCTTGAGTTTAATCACTGGTACAGGGGGAAAAAAAGTCAACTATAAAGAAAGCAAACAACCCAATCAAAACTGGAATATATTTAAATAAGTATTTCACCAAAGAGAATATATGGGTGAAAAATAAGCACATGAAAAGATGCTCAGTCATCAATCAGTAAGTAAATGTAAACAAAACCACTAGATACTACTTTATATTGACTAAGATGACTATGACCAAAAAAGACAGATAATAACAAGTGTTGGTAAGAAAGTGAAGAAACTGGAATCTCATATATGGCTAGTGGAATGTAAAGAGCAATGAAACAGTTTCTTACAAAGTTAAAAACATACTTAAAATATGATCCAATTTCACAATATACCTAAAAGAAATATAAGCACAGATCCATGCAGGCTTACACATGAATGTTCACAAAGGCTTCCCTGAAATAGCCAGAAATTGGAATAACACAAATGCTTACTAACAGTTGAACAGATAAATTGTGGTCCACATGTTCACCATTCCTAATCTCAAAACCCAAAATCCAAAATGTTTCAAAATACGAAATTTTCTGAGCAATGACATGATTTCACAAGTGGAAAATTCTAGATTTCATGTTATAAATTTTACAATACAAATACAGTATGAAATTATTTTCAGACTATATGTATGAGGTGTATATGAAATATAAATGTCTTTCATGTTTAGACTTCAATGTCATTCTCAAGACATCTCATTATGTGTATATATAAATATTTCAAAATTCCAAACTTCTGGTCCCCAAAATCGATAAAGAACATTCAACCTTTACTACTCAGCAATGACAGGCACTACTGATACACATACCAACATGGATGAATATCTAAACATTATACTGAATAAAAGAAGCTAGACAAAAAAGAATAAAAGTATGATTTCATTTATATACGTTCTTGAAAATGCAAAGTTAATCTACAGTTACAGAAAAACCAGTAATTGTCCAGGAAATGGTTTTAAAGATGTATACTTATACCAACATTTAAAGATTTATATACCTTAAGCATGGGAATTTTATTGTATATCATTTACACCTTGATGAAGCTGTTACAAAATCCTAGCCAGGTGTAATGGTAAATGCCTTAATCCCAGCACTGTGGGAAGCTGAAGCAGGAGAATCACAAGTTTGAGCTCAGCCTAGGCAACTTAACAACTTTGTGAGACACTGTATCAGAATTTAAAAGGGCTAGGGACACAATTGAGTGTGTAAGCCTTGGGTTCAATTCCCAGTACTATTTCTACAACAAACAAACCCAAAAGCAAAAACTAACTCTTCAGTCATACCAGAGCATTTCAAGAGCTCAGTAGGTAAGTGCAGCCAGTGATTACTGCACTAGACATTGCAGATAAATAAAGTTGCATCACGGCAACAAGTCCCACTCAACAGTATTGCTTAGACAGGAGTCAGGAAACTATGTACCTGGGACCCACACCATGTTTTCCTAAATAAAGTTTTTTTGGAACACAGCTAAGCCAATTCATTCATGTATTGTCCATGGCTTCTTTGGTACTACAATGGCAGAGCTAAACAACTGCAACAAGACCATGTGGCCTGCCAATCTAAAGTAATTGCTATCTAGTCCTTTATGTAAAAGTTTGCTGATTCTCCTCTAAACCATAAATTCTCAGGACAGGGGACATGCCTATCCTGTTTACTGCTCCACATAACCCAATTAATATGTACAGAGTACCTGACATGTAGAAGGCACTATTTCATGCAATGAGGATACAACCTGGAACAACACCGACTAAAGGCTTATTCTTACAGTTTTCATAATCTGATGATGCAGGTGACAGGTATAAGGTAAATAGGAGACAAAGTGTAATGCTAAGATAACAAGAAAGCAGAAGATACAGAGCATAATTGAGGGGTAGGCCTGTCCTGTCCCAGGACAGGCCTCTGGGACGACCTAACATCTGAACAATATGAAACAACACTGTAAAGACTGGGAGCAGATGCAAAGGGAAAAACACCACCAAGGCCTCAAAATAGGAACGAATGTGAGGACTTGATTTAGGAAAAGAAAAGGTCACATGGCAGGGCCAAGAAAAGGAGTCTGAATTTTCTCATAAATGTGATAAAGAGGCACTCCAGGATTTTAAACAGGTGAGAAATATGATTGATTTACATTACTTAAAAATCTTTCTGGTGCATTAGAGACTGGGTTATGGAAACACAAGAAAAGTGTTAGACAAGAAGACTCTGCAAAGGTACAAGTGAGAGATGGTAGCACCTAGACTAAGGTGGCAGAAGTGGAGATAAATTTATGTTTCAAGTGATAATAGGTTTTCTGATGGATTGGTTGTTGTACAATAAGGAAATGAGTTTAAAAATGAATTCTAAATTTTTGGCTTGGACAACTGGGACACAATGTTATGAATTACAGATAGGAGTAAAATTGCAAACAATAAGTGCTAACATTTTAGTGTCTATTTATGTCTCATTCATTCATGTTTAATTTTTCCGATAACCTTGGGAACACAGATTCTGGTTTGATAGTGTATTAATCCACTGTTTTATAATAAAGGCCACCATTTTAGAAATAATGGCTATGCTGAGTAAAAAGAACATGGGAAGGCTAGGGATTTAGCTGGTTCTGCTGCCTGCCTTGTAAGCACAAGGACTCCAGTTTGATCCCAGGTACCAAATAAATAAAGCATGGGAAAGGGGCAAAACGGCCCTTCACTTACTGAACATGTACTCCTTGACAAATGATGAAGCTACCTTTTAGTATTTCTTCCCTTTGCCAGCATGCTTAATGGGCCTGGTGGGGGGCGGGTGGAAAGAAATTGTTCAAGAAAATTAATTTTGATTTTTTTACAATTCCTTAAATTTACAAAATATAAACAATGCTTTACAATATATGTCAATTACTGAACGTTCATTTGACATCTCCTTTGTACCACTAACCTGATAACGTACCGGTTTTATTTGGAAAGACTTGATTACAAACACATTTCCTCATCTCTGAAGGGGAGAAGATGACAAAGACAAAGTGCAGCACATCAAAGGCTGGGCCGGCACTGTGGCCCATGCATTGAGTTCATGGACACCCCTAAATGTCTCTGCCACAAGGTCAAGGTCCTTTAGAGCACACAGACATGACATGACTATACCTGCAGTATGATCTCACTTCTCTTCAACTGACCTCTTAGCCAACGCAGCATCTTGGTGGGAAGATTTACGAAAGGATGTAAAATCTGGACAAGTAGGGAGCCTTGTAACCCCCTAAGCCTCTAATTATAGCAATGCAATGCCTTAAAATATGTCAAGAGCTAGATGATCCTTCTCGCCAAAAATTGTTTCTGGAGAAGCTGGCAAAACATCACCAGGGCAAGGAACAAAAACAGCCAAATAAATATCTGAGGGTCTCGTGCTGAAGGAAGGGGAGGCAAGACACGGCTAGAAACACCCAAACCAATTCCTAAGAGACTGAGAGCCAAGAACGGGAGGTCCCAGCCCACGTGCACTAACTGGCTCAGGGAACAGTTCCAAAGAAATCTGACCCCAATCGGAATCCTCCCTCTGCACCGCAGACGTGTTTATCTGAAGGGAATGCTACAAGTTGTTACCCGCACCCTTCCTAGCTCTGACAGGGAACACGCGCGCCACCCCCACGCCCACACCCACACTGGACCCTCTCCAGCCCTGCCGGAGTCCCAAGGGCCACGGACCAGCTCACGGCGAGGGCCTGGACTTTCCACCACAGCCCCCTCTGCCTCGGCCCAGCCCGGCTCTAGGCCAAGCCGAATCTTCACGTCCCCGCAGCACGGTCCATTAACATCGCGTGTCTGCACCCTCAGTTCTGACCACCCCCCGACACAGCCCAGGACCGCGCTGCCCGTGGGAAGAACCCCTTTTATAAGTAAGTCAAGCAGCCGCGCCTCCGCAGCCAGGTGAGGCGGGCAGAGCCCGCGCAGCAGCCCGGCCGCCTACCTTCCTCCGCGCC